CACTCCATCACAACGATGGCTGCGCCCACAGCAGAGGCTAAGTTCCCATAACAAGCCTTAACGAGCAATCATCAGGGACCTTAGGCTGCCCCACCCCACCCTCCGTGGGGCTTGACAGGGGACCTTAGGCTGCTTCTCCCACCCTGGGCCGGGGAACCTCAGGTTGCGCCTCCCACCCCAGTGCTGGGGAACCTGAGGCTGTGCCCCCTGCCCAGCGGGGCTTGATGGGGGACCTGAGGCGGCCCCCCTCCTGGCGGGGTTTGTTAGTGGACCTGAGGCCACGCCCCCCACCCTGGCACCAGGCCGGGGAACCTCAGGCCATGCCCCCCACCCGGTGTGCTTGACGGGGGACCTCAAGTTGCGCCAACCACCCTGGTGCTGGGCCAGGGGACCTCAGGCTGCTTCCCCCACCCCGGACCAAGGGACCTCAGGCCGCGCTCCCCACCCCAGTGCCAGGGTACCTGAGGCTGCACCCCCTGCCCAGTGGGGCTTGACAGGGACCTCAAGGCATGCCCCTCACCCCAGCGTCAGGCCGGGGAACTCAGGCCGTGTCCCCTGCCCAACGGGGCTTGACGGGAGACCTCGGCCTGCACGCCCCCCCCCCCCACCCGGCCCCGGGCCAGGGGACCTGAGGCTGTGCCCCTTGCCCAGTGGGTTTTGACTAGGGTGCAACTGGCCGGGTATGGATCTAGCCCAGTGGGGGGGGGGCCAGCCGGGTCTGGGTCTTGTGTGATGTCTAGGCACACGTGGGTGGGTGGGGACTAAACTCTGGGTCCTGTGGTGCACCCCAGACACTGACAGGAGGAAGATTTTCATATACATTTTACTAATTTTCTTTCATCTCTGACTCTTATAAAGAAAGGACAAATAGCAATATTAAAATATTTCCTCTAATTAATCCCCTTTTAATGTGCACGAATTTCATGCACCAGGCCACTAGATTCTTATAATGTTTAAACTCATAGAAAAGGAGATAGAAACGGGAAATTATCGAAGTCTCCCTGAATTATTTCATTGTCAAATGTGCTAGCCCAGAGTCTGTCTGTCCTGTGCGCTAGCTTATATCCCAGTTGGCTGTCGACTGCCTTTCCTGGACTCCTGTGTCCCCTGATTCCTAGCTGGGTTCAGCTTGTGAGAGACACTGGAGGGAGATTGGGGCAGGGGAGGAAAAGAGAGGCCGCACTATGAAAAGAAGGAATGAGGAGGGCTGGTGGTACAGCAAAGGCAGCCTCTCTTTTATGCATCCAGCTCTCTCCAGACAGCCCCACTACAGTTCCATCTTCTACTGGAACCCGCCCCTGGGCTTCAGTAGCATTTCTTCCCTCCTTTGAACCCACTGTGCTTTCTGCTGTAGCTACTCCCTGGGTTGCCTCACACTACTTATCTGGGTGTCTCAGTTCTTCATGACCTGTGTAACCAACTTATTCCCTGCATTAAATTCCCTTGGCTAGATACACTTAAATTGTTTCTCTTTTCCTATTTAGACTCTGACTAGTGCACATTTTCATTTTCTGTTTGGTATGATTATAAAATAGGCTAAGAGAATGCTATTGACATATTATATCCAGATTTCAGGAAGACTTTTGATAGATAATCTTATGTCCTTGTGAACAAAATAGGGGGGATTTAGACTGGACAATAAATTCTTGGATTGCTAGCATTTATTAATGTCAAGGCAGCTGCTGAAAGGGCTCTAGAGGTTTGCCAGAGGCTCTGTCCTTGGCCATGCCCTACTCAACATTATTGCCAAAGATCTGGACGAAGATACAAAGCAGCTTATATCAAATGTGTCCGTAACACACAGCTGATAGCCAATTTAATTCAAGTTGTAAAAGGATAAACTTTTTAAGGAAAATAGAATACCTTGCATCTAGGTACAAAAAAATATAAAGAAGTAGTATAGGAGAGGCCAAGTTTCCCAGCATATTATGTTGGTAAAGAAATCCAGTATTTAATTGACCACAAGCCAGAAGTGTGACCTGTGTTTAAAAGAGGGGTTGGGGGAACTTGTCTTAGGGCCCCACTGGAAGATTATTGTCCCTGTCAACTGGTAAATAGTTCTACTTCTCTTCAAAAAGCAATACAGGAAGGGTAGAAACTTACTCTAAGAAAGATATTGCTAAACTGAAGCATCAATGTTCCCCAAACTGTGTAAAGCTTTATGTAATTTACAAATTGTATGCGCATACATCTATTCACCTTTGCCTCACAACAGTCAGTGTAGGACATACTCTTACCCCATTTCTCACGCTTTATTTTCTCATATGGGTTCAAGTCTAAGATACTAGCTCACTGTTTGGCCTTAGGCAAGCAAGGTCTGGTGCTTGGTCAGAAACCCAGCTAATTACAATAAAGCCCATTCTCACTTCAGGACACCATCCTGCATCTAGCTTCCCTTTGAAAGGTCAGAAGGCTTTTTTTACCTGTGATGAACAGTAAAGGGAACCTGGGACATTATGCTAGAACAACAGACTTGTGGGAAATAAAGTCTGTCTTCCAAGATTTGAAACTCATATGAGAGGAGTGGATTAAATTAAGTGGCTTCGGGGCATGACAAGGCATGAGAGGGTTTTTGCTCGATATTTTAAAAATTTCAAACAGACCATCTCCTATAGTCATTGCTTTTGTGCAAAATCTGGGTAACTATAGGAATATAATAGTGAAATGAATTCCTACATTGGGAAGCATGTTAAATTAAATAACTTCTAGAGTGGCACCCAACTCTATCCAACTTGTTTGTTTGGGGTTTTTTGGGTTAGTGAGATTTGTGGTTTGTAGTTTTGACTAGGAGTTGTTTTATTTTTGTAGTTTCACTTCTAGGAACATAATTGTTTTTCTTATAATTTAGGATTAACATACTCTATTTGTGTGTGTGAGAGAGGGAGGGGCGGGGACTTTCAAGAGCCTGAAACAAGGAAGTAAAGCGTGACTAGTGCTCAGTGTAATTAACTTCACAAGAAATACTACATTATTACCCAGAATATGTCCCCAGAGTGAATGTCTGCATTTGTTCAATTTCATCCCTATCAGGGGTAATGAGGAGAATCATTTTGAAATATATTGAAGCAGAGAATAGTGTTTGCAAAGTATTATTAGGTTTGATAGGATGAACTTGTGCAAATGCAAACTGTTGGCATATCACTGTAAAAACCTATATGCTGAAAGGTCCCTGAGATGACTTATTAGAGGCCATCAGCGTGAAAGTAATTGAAAAAACATAAAATTTACCTTGAGCATGCCTTTCTAATCTTTTTTCAAGAACTAGTACAGTCTTTCTCCCCACACTGGGATAGTTATATTCTTGAAGATCTAAGATAATTGAGGAAGGAAAATAAAAATTATTTCAAAATTTATGCAGGAAAAAAACAAAAAAAAATAGCAAAGCTCTCATGAGAGTAAAACATGCAGGGAAGATTAAATGTATTGGTGTTTCAGAATTCACTTAAGATAACATTTTGCTTTGACCTTATTTCTGGTTAGTTTAATAAAGGGAAGTTCTTAGTCTTCATAACTACTTGCTGAGGTCTAAAAGTTAACTGACTTGATTTCCTGAAAAAGTTTCATTGTGAACCCATGATAGTTCAGATCTTCCCTGTGAATGATCCAGGGCTGAGTACTCTTGTCGAGTTCATTTTTTTAAAAAACTTGCACTGTCTGCCCCAACCTCCACCCCTTCTCCAATTTCTCCCCAGACTTATTAATCATAACATAATTCTCATGGCAGAATTTGAAGGACATTGAAAGTACTAAGGGGGGAAAAAAATGAAGTTAAAGAGCATCTGATATTTAATTCAGAGTAGTATCCATTTAAAAATTCAAATTTGAAAAATGAACTTTATAGATGTTAACATTCTCTGACAACTTGCCACTTAATATAATGGTGATATTTCTTTTAAAATGGATCAGTTTCCCACTCATAGGCTTAATTTGGGGCCTCAACAAGCCACAATATTCTTTTTCCTTTATGTTACTAATGCAAAGTAGATAAAAAGAGTAATGTTCAATAATTCCTGTGTTGCCCTTGCTCTAATCAGCATGTTTTTTCCTTTAATGTTATATATGTAAAATTTGGGGAGTTTAAAAACTTAACCAAATTGCTGCCAAATTTCTTGACATTCCAAGTTTTTCAGATTTTAGGAAAATGGTGATATAGTGTATGTATTTTACATTTTTCAGTTAATTCTCCCAGTGCATATTCAAATGCATGAAGATTCTGATACCAAAAGCATATGAATAGTCACGTTAAGTGAAATAAATTAAGATGTTAAGCAGTTTTACATTAGTTCTGGTCAGAATTTGCAGCCAAGTAAATTTGGATGAGATCAAGTTTGCCACCAAATAAGTTGAAAAAACAAAACAAAAGCCACCATCACTTAGTTTTCAGGGCTTTGGTAATCTTCAAGTGATCAGCATTATCTTATTTTTAATTGCAAGTGGATAGGTAGAAATTGTCGCTATTTTTCTCATTTCCCCAAGAAAGAAGAAAAGGCAAACATTGGGCCAGAGTTTGGGGATTTGTTAAGTGCTGCCATAAGTGCAATTCTTATTATCATCACCGTTACACCTCACAGAATCCTCTGAAACAAACTATTTTTATTTTACAAAGGCAACAGAGGAGTAAGGAGTGAAATGACTCGTTCCAGCTACAAAGGTAGCAAGTAGCAGAACTAAGACTCAAACTCAGGTCTTTCAACTCTGGATCCCATTCTCCTTTTACCAAATCTTGTTTTCTTAAGAAAAGCTTCCAGGAAGCTGGAAAATGAGAATTCAGGTATATGCTTATCTAGAGTTTAATGAATGCATCACAATGCCTAAAATATTTTATTAATTTGAATCATTTAAGTTAGTTTGGCAGAAATAGACTGATTATTGTCAAATTTGAAGTTTGTTTTGAGTATTTTTTAAAGGGGACAATAATTTAAAAGTTCAAGCTAATTTCAAGTATGGAATAATAAGGATTTTTTGTGCCTTGTTCTCCCAATTTTGGTTTAACTGTTCAGATGTGCCTGGCATCAGAGGGGGTGAAAATAGAAGAATCCAAGCTAATAAAAACAAAAGAATCAGATGGCGGAAGAATTAAAGAATTGGAGAAGGGGAAGGAAGAAAGAGAGATAAAAATGGAGAAAACAGATGAAGCCAGATTACAGAAGGCAGCAGAATTTGAAAAATCTTTTAAGGAAAATGTAAAAGATTCTAAGGAATTAAGAAATTTTGAGGAGCTGCAAATGGATGATATAATGGCTATAAAAATGGAAGATCCCAAAGAAATTAAAAAGGAAGAATTAGACAAAGATCAAAAGTATAGTCATTTCTCTGATTTTTCTTACTCTGCCAGTAGCAAGATAATAATAAGTGATGTTCCCAGTAGAAAGGATCATATGTGCCATCCTCACGGGATTATGATCATTGAGGACCCCACAGCATTAAACAAGCCAGAGAAGCTAAAAAAGAAAAAGAAGAAAAGCAAAATGGATCGACATGGAAATGATAAATCCACACCCAAGAAGACTTGCAAAAAGAGGCAGTCCTCAGAGTCTGACATCGAGAGTGTCATATACACCATTGAAGCTGTCGCAAAGGGAGACTGGGGCATTGAGAAACTTGGAGAAACCCCTCGCAAGAAGGCACGTACATCCTCAAGTGGCAAGGGAAACGTTTTGGATGCCAAGCCACCAAAGAAAAAAGTGAAATCAAGAGAGAAGAAAATGTCAAAGGAGAAATCCTCAGACATCACCAAAGAGTCAAGACCTCCAGATTTCATCAGTATTTCTGCCAGCAAGAACATTTCTGGTGAGGTGCCGGAGGGTATAAAAGCAGAACCATTGACCCCCACAGAGGACGTATTACCACCCAGCTTATCAGGACAGGCCAAGCCTGAGGACAGTGAGTGTCACAGAAAAATAGAGACTTGTGGCTCCCGGAAATCCGAGAGGTCTTGCAAAGGTGCTCTTTATAAAACCCTGGTGTCTGAGGGCATGCTCACCTCTCTGAGAGCTAATGTTGACAGAGGTAAGTGACTTCTACAAATCTGAAAAGATTATGAAAGCCTAGCAGAATTTCTTATTTAGACCTAGTGAAAAGAACCACCAGAAAGAACAATATGGTATCAAAATGATATTTTACATTTGTACAGTTCTTAATGGTTTATAGATGGCATACATTTGTCATTTTACATGTTTCCCAGCCCATTGAGAAGAGTGTCTTCAGGATATAAGTGTTTAAAGTAATTCAACCCTTCCTTTCTTTTTTACTGGGATAGGCTCAGTGTTTGGTTTGAAGGATCAGTATTGCATGTCAGGAGCTCTTTGTCTGTTTTCTAACACTGATGGAAAGAATTTCCTGAGTCAAGCGATAGTTTGGCAGAATCTTGACCTGAAGGATCCAGGAGCAAATGACTTAACTAGTCCTCTCCATTAGTTAAAACTATAATTGAAGTGAAGGTTCTTTAAAACATAACAGCATCCAGAAGCCAGTTAATGTATCTACCTTTATTCCATAGTGTTTCATATAAATTCATCTATTTTAAAATATGGTGTCTGGCTAGGGGATTACCTTTGGCCAAGCTAGATTTCAATTAGAAATGTGTGAATATGAGGTCTAGCAAGCCCTGAATGAAGATCCTTGGGAGTACATAGTTCTCCAGGGATGCCATTCCAATAAATGTTGGTGAATGAGAATTAGTAGTGCCCACCAGCAAAGGACTCCCATACTCTCAGGTGATTCTCTAATGGAAAAGTTAGCAGTCGGTGTTCTGCTCTGGAGTCACACAATAGCTGTTGAGTTACAACAAGAAAATTTACTTCAGAGGTTGTGAGTCACTCTTGTGCATGTTCTTTTGTTGAGGGTAGTCCATCATGAATCACTTTGAGTCTCTGAATATTTACTAATACCATCAGGCCCATGATACCAGAGGTCAAGAGGTCACTTTTGAATCAACTAAGTTGATCTCCCTCCCATCCCAATATACCGAGCACATCCTTTCTCTTGAATTTCATTAGGGAAACGAAGCTCAGGAAAAGGAAACTCTTCATTTAGCCCAAGTGGGACCAGTGGGAGCAAGAAGTTCAAGAAGACAAAGCCAAAGGAAGACTCTCTCCTTGGGTGAGTGTCTGTGAGCATAGGCTGCTACACTACACAGCCCCAAGTGTGGTAGGATTTTCAAGGCAAGCATAAATCTCTAACTGCTTATTCCTGGAGTATTCATTCAGTGCTTAATAAACACACAAGGGAAACGGATCATGTGTATCCAAACCTGCTGTTAACACGGTTGTAAGAGACAGTGTCATTCGCACTTAAAGTCTCAGACGTAGGCCTGAGTGTGAATTGGGGTCCACCATGTATTAGTAGTGTGACATTGTAAGTCCTTTAATATCACCAGGACACATTTTCCCATCTGAGGTTTACAGTGGATAGTATATAAGTATGTCTACATTTTACATACTGTATGTGCTTTACTTAGTATTTCTAGGCATGTCCATATGTTTGCAAAAATAAAAATCACAGCTGAAAATATAAGGTAAATAAAATTAAGTTTCTACTTCTAATCTTATTTTGTTGAAACCATATTTCTATGCTGTAAATAAAAATAATAGATTGAATATTCTCTCTGGTACAGAGAATATTCAGTAATTAATTATATATTGAAGTGCTGTGTCAAGCAGTAGCATACATCAAGATAAAATGATTAAGAATTATTTCATCTTTATGTTATACCAAAGACTCTAATACCAATCTTAATATAAAGCATTTTGCAAGTTAAGTTGTGGTACCCAATACTTTATATTAGCGAGAAAGCATCTGAATATTCAGTTGTACTGTTTTGAAAAAACCTTTGAGATTTCTCTTAGTCCAATTTGAAAAGAATACACTGAGCAGAAATAAATACATTTTTATATTTTCCATATTTGTTCATAAATGTGTTTAAAGGTATGCAGATTTTATGCATTGGGAATATTGAATTTGGTTTATTCATAAATATTTGCATTTCTGTTTGTGGAACAACATATTTTTTCCTTGGATGTTTCAGTGCTTCAAAGCCTGGTTAATTCTAAGGCTCTAGGTCATCACAGAGAGTGAGAGTGGAAATTATTTCTCATGACGATGATTCCTTAAGATTATTTATATTGACACAATATATGTATAATTTTATATATTTCCTTTCTAATATTTTTAAAGTCCAGAATAGTTCAAATTAGTTTTGCTTACATTATGCTTCAACAATGACACAAAATCTTCATGTTTGTCATTGTCAAATAATATTTTTCAAATGAAGTATTTCCTAAAGTGACACTGAGCATCAGGGCCAGTGCTTTGTAACTCCTGGAATTACCAGTGCTCTGTGTGACTACCCAGCATGAGAGGAGCGCTCGCATTGCAAACAGTGAAGTCCTAGGGGACACAGTAGGCTTGCAGGTTCCCCAGCGGAAGGTTCTCTGATGCTCCTGTTAGGTACTGCCAAGGCTCTGAGAGAGATGTTCTCGCCAGTCCTCTTTGAGGAATAAGAAAAGTGCAACAATCTTTTGAAAATCTATCCCTACAAAGAGATTGCTGTGTGGGTTGGGTTTTTTGTTTTGTTTGTTTAAGTCATTTCTAAGGAAGCCACATATAGATAACTGGGAGTGTGGTTTCCTACAGGCTTCAATCAACGGTAAACTTCTGATCTTTCCTCCTCTCTCTCTCCTCTAAATAATGGCCTGTCAGAATCAGACTATCTGGGTTTCCCTTGTTAAGAACACACCAACATAGTGCATGAGCAGTGAGAAATGCCACTTCCTGTCAGTCTTACCTGAGATTTCTAAATGAGCATTTTAAACCTTTTTATCTCAGAAAATGTGCTACCTGCTTAGTTAACTGTAGCCAAGAAAAATTCACTCAGTATTGGCAGTTCTAATTTTATAGACTTATCCAAGAAAAACAGAGGTGATTATTCTAGTTGAAAAAAGAAAAAAGAATCCCAAGAGACCTTAGGGATTATATCTCACGTTTCATAGTTTTGTCTTGCTTATTCAGAGTATCTGAAAAATTCACATCTTACAGATAGCTTTCGGATACATCTAATTAGTAACCAGACAGTATCTGATTTTCCATTAGAATAAACATTTTCTTTTAACTGAGCATGAAAAGATGATTTTAGTAAGAGAGAAACGTCACCCCCACCAACCACCCTTTGCAGCTTTGATTAGAACTTGGTAGTAGTGCCTTTTTCTGTTGACAGTTCTGATAGTTATCTGCCTGTCTTATCTCTGCGCCCCAGTTCTTGTACATTCCTCCAAAGCTGAGAACAGTTTTAGGTGGACACGGCTCATGTACATCTCATAGGTAGTAGCCTTCTGGTAAGTTGGCTGCTCCAAGCTGCTCTCTCCCGAGGACGCCTTCCACTTCCCATCCACCGAGCACAGAGATTCTCCTGCAGCTTCTCCTGTCTGGGCTGCGTCTTAGTTAATAAGTCTCACTGTCGGTGAAAGACAGCAGCCAGGCTAGGGCCCAGCAGGCATGCTGCCATTGCTGGGGTCGGGGAGGCCTTGCAGACAGTCAGAAGCAGCCCAAGGATTTCCCAACTTGGCTGGTGGCCTTTCTGCAGTCATCATGCTGTTAGAGCAGTGCTGCCTTTCCGCCAGTGTGTCCATCGAAAACTGGCTTCACTTTTCTCACTGCATGTGTTATCCTCATGCTGGCCAGCTCTCCAGAATGATTTCCTAATGTTCAAATTATGTGTTTGTGTTTTCTTTGTGTGTATATGGTTTAAAGTACTTGTCAGTAAATATCCTATATAGTAAGAGAGGAATATGCTAATTAGCCATTACACCCTGAGGCGTCATGACCAAGCATGTCATGACCAGATCACAGATCAGCAGGAGGGTGGGCCAGCGAGGTACAAGTGGGCTGTGGAGAGCTATAGGAGGGGGCAGGATAGCAAGCTATGGAGGGGGAGGGGAGAGGAGGGAGCTACAGAAGCACGGCATCGACTTACTGGCTACAAGCAGGTGGCAGAGAGCTACAGGATGGGGCAGGGCAGCAAGCAAGTGAGAGGTGGAGAGCTACAGGAGAGAGCAAGGCAACAAGCTATGGAGGGGGGTTAGAGGGGAGCTACAGGAGGGCAATGGGTGGAGAGCTACAGGAGGGTAGCAAATAGATTCATGTGCAGGGCTGCTAGTTTTAAATAAAAGTCTTACAAAATTAACCAATATACCATATTACCAAAAAGCTTCCATATATATATATATATATCTTTAGAATGAGATACTTGTCTGGATGGAATATGCTTTGTATTGAACTTAATGAAAACTCCCCATGCCAATGGAGAGAATGGCAAATTCTCCACTTCAAAATATTTGATATTTTAAATAATGTTTCAGCTTTTCCAAGATAATATGATAACCTGTCCTGTGAGTTTACCAAGAAAACTGTGTTGCTAAATCTTTTCAAGCTTTTCTGAAAGCATGGTTTTTTTCCTTGCATAGAATTTATTACCAATTCTCAGGCACCCTGTTTTCAAAAGAAATACCTTAAAATACATATTGTACTGCTTTCTGTTTAAATATTTATATCATGTGCCAAGTCATTATATCCCTTCTCTTTTATTAGCTCAGCAAAGCTGGATGAAGAATTTGAAAAAAAATTCAACAGCCTCCCTCAATATAGTCCTGTTACATTTGACCGGAAATGTGTACCTGTCCCAAGAAAAAAGAAGAAGACTGGAAGCATGTCCTCAGAACCGACTAAAACCAGCAAAGGTTAGATGTGTGCTCTGCCTTCCTGCAGCGTAGTCAGAATCTCCCTGAACCCTCTTCTGAGCTGCTGCAAGTCCCCTTAGATGTAACTGCACCTTGGTTGAGGTGGTAGCGATGATCTTGGTTCCTACCTCCCTTCTTTCTCCCTTCCTCCCTTCCTACTTCTCCTCAGCCTCTGTTCTTTGGCCTCTCTGCCTATACATTGGCCCTTACAGGTGTGTAGGTTTTTGAAAGTGTTCCATGTGGTCTTTGACTTTCTACTCTCCAGCATTCTAATTTGGAAAGGCAGAACTTTTCTTGAGCAAAAAGCTGCTGAGTCTAAGTCTTCTGTTCCCTGTGTTTGCAACAAGTTGGACTGTGAGACTATGAAATCATTCCATTTGCTTAATAAGCAGACTTCACTCTTTACTGGCAGCATGAACCAATGAAAATAAAATTTCCCTGTAATACTCTGGTGATATTTTTTATTTGTTTTGTTAAATTTAGAAAAATGCTTTGTTCAGCATATTTATTTTCAAGACCATCAGATTCTCCCCTATGTATATCAGGGAAGCTTTAAAAATTACCACAACGCGGGTGGATGTCAGCATTCATCAAAGGGGACATTGTAGTTCCAAAGGGGCCTTTGGAGAATGTGGGCGTTCTCAGTGGTCTCAACACCTAGGACCACTGTTATATTTGGGCAGGGGCTCAGGTGCTAAACATCCTAACCTGCCAGGGATATTCAAGCACAAAGAAGGATTGTCCTACCCAAAATAACAGTGTTGCTCAGCTTGAGAAACATGTCTTCTAACATTACTTTAGATCTAAAGATTGGTGGGGAAATGTACCTGTGTTTTTCCACACGGATGTGAGACTTCATTCAGTTAGCTCTCCTGTAAGACCCTGAATGGAGGGATGAAGACCTGGCGTGGCTGGGCCGTGTTGCTTTCAGGATTAGATTCCGAGCAGGGTTTGATGGAAGAGTTCCTGTAATCACCCTGCAGAAGTGGCTGCCTGTTGCCTGCTTTATGTCAAATTCGGTTAATTCCCTTCTTTTGTGGATTTCAGATGGATAGATGGTTATGATATGATATATATCTTTATGTAAATCTTACTAAATTTTTGCAATCATGATAATGATCAAAGATAAATTAAGGAGGTAATACAATTTCATGGTTTTTGAAAGGATATATAAGGTGTATGTATAGAGAAGATTATGGTTTCTTCTCTGAAGAAATCTGAACCTCTATCCCTCAGTACCTAAAACCCCTTTGTGTACTGGTATTAATATAACTGAGGAGGATCTCTTTGAGATCTATATCTTAAAATGGCTCTGAAAGGCTGAAGAAAATTCTCCCTTCATGATTAAAGGCACAGAGGAACATAAAAGAGAGTTTAGCTTAGTTTTCCTCTGTGGTTTATAAAAACAAAGTCTAGTGGATAAAGAACTCAAAAAGAAATGTTGCATCACCAAGTTTGCTCTTCTGGGAAAATATAATAGGGATGTATCACCAATATTCCAAGATAGGTAGGAAAGAAATCAAGTAGCCTTATTGACAGGTAAGCAACTGAGCACTGTAACGATAGATTGTCTATGCAATGACAGTCTTTGTGCTCTAGAGATTTAGGAATAGGCACAGTAGTCCATGAGTCCAAAGATGCCAGGTATCTTGAGCTCCCATAATTCTTGGATCTAAAGTCGCTGATAAATAAATATCTTACAAGCGGATAAAGTTGAACTTAATTGATTGATGTGCAGGATGAACTCTCTTCCTCTGCTTGTTGTGGTTTGAGACATTAATTTTAGAACTCTGAAAATGGCCGATTACCTATCAGGAAATGTAACAATAGATTTATTTTTCCCTGAAGTTGAGATCTGTTTTCTTGCAACCTTCTCTTACTTGTCTGTTGTATATTTTTTCTCTCCCAACTAAGATTAACAGTATTTCTTTTTATGTGAAATAGCTTTTTAGAGGTTTGGATTATACTTCATACAACATCATTCTTTAACTCTTCTGTTAAACCACAAAGTCACTGGTCTTACACAGAATATTAGTAATTATGTAGCTGGGAAGTCTTTTAAGATTTTGCTTAGCATAACAACTCATGGAGAAAAAATGCAATTATAATAAAGCAGAAATTAAATAATTGATTCTCTATTTTATTATGGTATTTGTGACTGATTAAAATTTGGCATTAGCAGCACCAATGTACTATCTACAACTTATTAATGAAATTAACATACCAGCTGTGCTGTAATTGCCTGATCTTTAGAGGAGAGAAGAGATTGTTTTCTTAAACTCTAGATCCTTTGCACCTTTTCTTAATGAATTCTCAAAGCAGAAACTTGGGTATGAGGTCATTAGTGCATGAGTAAGAGCATGTCTTCATAGGAAACCTCATTCTTCCAACAATTCACCATTTGTCTATATTTTATTTTCCCTAC